GAACAAAATATTCTGATTTTGAAATCTACCCAATACACATAATGAGTCCTATTGGATTTTGAGGTGAACAACTTCGAAGTGGAAAAATCTTTTCGAGAAACCATATCTTGTCAGATCGATACACACCATGTTATATGCACTTACTATAAGGTAACTCATTTATGGGAAAACATCCATTTTTCTCCGGTGTTGCACGGCTAACACAAGGAATAAGAGATTCATGAATTACATCCTATTGTTTTATTTTCCCATTAGTTGTGTGTATTATTATTTATAGGCATTCAACTCTTTGATAAGATGTTGGTGGACAAATGTATTAGTTTCCTCCCTTTCACCTAGTCTAAAAAATTTCTTTCGATATATTTCAAGAAATCCAAATATGTGACACACACCTTTATGAAATGTATGACAAATTCAGCATATAACTCTTCACTATAAGACTTTATTATACCATTCCAAACATCCATTATGATTTATTTGTTCCCTACCACAAGCTTAATTCTACCTCTCACATTTTTTGTTATATGATGCTTACACTATAAAGCATATGATGAAGAAAATGACTTTGTAACTAAATTCATCAATGTGGTATCACAATGGATGATAATCACCTTTGGCATGTTTTCTTGGTCTTTTAACATAATTTGACATACTTCCAAAACCCGTGTAACATTATTCTCTTTTCCACTTTCCAAAATGCAAACCCAACTTAAAAATTCATCTTTGTAGAAGTAACAAATATGTGGTTTCTCTGGAGTTTGGAACCCAGATTCACCCTTACTGAGGCCAACTCATAGAACAATTTTTAACAAATAACAAAATTAGTTTTATGACATACAAATGTTAATTTCAATATTTATACAAGTAATGTTAGATATACATAATAAAACACATCAAAATGTATCCATATTACATCGGTGAAATAACAAATTATAATCACATACAAAAATTATATTTTTGCCTATATGTATTGTAAGATAAAACTAAAATGTATCAAAATATGTATCACCACCTAAATCCATATCTATGGGTGGTTCCGCCTTTGAATTTTTCTGATTTGATTGTATTTCAATATAATTCCACTTGGTAAACTCTTCCATCATATCCAAAAAATTATTCGGCCAAGTTTCATTTTCTTTGATGGAATGAGATGTCCACTTAGGGGGGTGTTTCTTGCATAGGACATCTTGATTTCAAAAAAAAAACTGAACAAAATGTTGTGATTTTGAAATACCAACACACATAATGCGTCCTATTGAATTTTGGGGTTGAAAACTACGAGGAGAAAAAATGATTCCAAAAAACCATATCTTGTAATATTGATACACACCTTATTATATGCACTTACTATATGATAACCCATTTCGTGGAAACACGTCCATTTTTCTCTGTTGTTGCACCGCTAAAACAATGAATAAGAGATTCATGAATTACATCCTATTGTTCTATTTTTCCATATAGTTGTGTGTATGATTCCTTATAGGCCTTCAACTCTTTGAAAATATGTTGTGGACAAGCGTATCAGTTTCATCCCTTTCACCTAGCCTAAAATTATGATTTCAATATTTTTTAAGAAATCCAGATATGCCACACACACCCTTATAAAATGTATGACAGATTCAACATATAACTCACCACTAGAAGAATTTATTATACATTCCAAACATCCATTATGATTTGTTTGGTCCTACCACGGATTTAAGTCTACCTCTCACATTTTTTGTTATATGATATCTACGAAATGAAGTCTATGATATAGGAAATAACTTTGCAACTTAATTCATCAGTGTGGTATCATATTGGATGATAATCACTTTTGCCATGTTTTCTTGGTCTTTCAACATAATCTGACATACTTCAAAAGCTCACGTAACATTATCATCTTTTCCACTTTCCAAAAATGCAAACCCAACTGAAAAAAACTGTCTCTGTAAAAGTAACACATACGTGATTTCTCGGTAGTTCGTAACCCATATTCACTCTTACAGAGGCCAATTTATAGAACATGTTTTAACAAACAACAGAACTAGTTTTACTACATACAAAATTTTAAATTCAATATTTATAAAAGTAATATTAGATATTCATTATAAAAACACATTAAAATGTATCCAAATTACATCGGTGAAAATAACAAAATAAGACTACATACAAAAATTATGTCATCGCCTATATGTATTGTAAGATAAACCTAAAATGTATCAAAAGATGTATCACCGTCTAAATCTATATCTATGGGTGGTTTCAGTCTTAAATTTTCTTGATTTGATTGTCTTTCAATATGACTCCACTTGGTAAACTCTTCCATCATATCCAAAAAATTATTTGGCCAAGTTTCATCTTCTTTTATGGAATGATATGTCCACTTTGAGGATGTTTTTGGTATAGGACATATTAGTTTCAAAATAAGTTGAACAAAATGTTGTGATTTTGAAATCCACTCAATACACATTTTGCATCCTATTGGATTGAGGTGGAAAACTTCGAAGTGAAAAATGTTTCCGAAAATACATATCTTGTCAAATTGATACACACCCTATTATATGCACTTACTATAGGATTACCCATTTCAAGGAAACACGTCCATTTTTCTCTGGCGTTGCACCACTGACACAAGGAATAAGAGATTTATGAGTTTCATCATATTGTTCTATTTTTTCGTATAGCATTTTGTATGATTCCTTATAGACCATCAACTCTTTGATAAGATGTCGGTGGACAAATGTAAGAGTTTACTCTCCTTCACGTAGTCTAAAATTTTGCTTTCGACATATTTAAATAAATTTGGATACCATACACACACCCTTATGAAATGTATGACAGATTCAGAATACAACACTCACGATAAGAATTTATTATACTATTCCAAACATCCATTATGATTTGTTTGGTCCATACCGCAAGCTTAAATCTACCTCTCACATTTTATGTTATATGATACCTTACACAATAACGCATATGATGTTGAAAATACCTTTGCAAGTGAACTCATCATTGCAGTATCACGATCGGTGATAGTCACCTTATCATGTTTTCTTGGTTTTTCAACTTAGTCTGACATACCTCTAAAGCCCACGTGACATTATCCTCTTTTCCACTTTCCAAAAATGCAAATCCTACTGAAAAAGTCATCTCTGTAGAAGTAACACCAATAATCTCCAAAAGTGAAAGTCTGTACTTGTTGGTCTTATATGTTGAATCAATTATCAACACTGTGGGAAATATTTTGAACAACTTGATGACATCATGATGAGTTTAAAATATATCTCGAATAATTTTTTCATCCTCAAAGACTTTGTATCTAGATACATAATGATCATCATTCAATAGCTTCAACAATTATTGTATTTCAGATTTTGGACCTTTTATCGCTTTTTTTTGTGCGAAAATTGTATGCTTGATTAGTATTTGAGTAAATTTTGGGTTTTCTTAAGTGGGTAGTATGTTTTTAAGATGAACCGTGTTCAATGTCATGTCAGAAACAAGTTTCTTCTCTTCAAATCCAGACGACATACAATTGGTTGAATAACTAACTTGTCACACAAAATATGATTATGTATACTACAAATCACATTAAATATTCATGTATTATTCTCCTTATGTTACCCGTACAACTTAACAGGACATTCACATTTCTTCGATCCAGTGTCATCGTGCTTCAACTTATAGATTATTTCTTTATACTTGCCATTTCTTTCGCATTTCATCGTAACAAATGTATGTCTTCTATCAAAATCAAAATTTGGACTCCTGATAACAATGTTGAACCCTAATTTGGCGTCCTTTGTGTTGACTCTTTGAATCATATGTTCACGTATAGAAAACTCTTGTTTATTGGTAAATAATTTTCCACTATCAAACTAAACATTTTACTCAGTTTAACATCCTTAATTGCAGTAGCTTTAATGGCAACATTACTCAATTTCTGAAACATTCGTACAAGTATTCGGATTTCAAAATATAGACACAATGTTCATATTTCACACAAAACTAAGTCACCTTTTTTCATAAATGATCAATGGAATACAAGTACACTACTTGTAATATCAACTTCTTTTACGTTTTTTGATGTCAAAATATAGGAGAATGTTGTTTGCAAGTAAAAACCTTGAATGAGAATAGGAGATTTTGATTGGATTTTTTAATATTGGAGTTAAGATCATATGAAGATACTCATATATGTAAGGTTAGGCAAAATTCATTTGTTTTGTTTGATGTTTCAGGATTTCAATCTTCGAACGGTGATAGTAATAGAGATTGAAATTCAGACACTTTTTAATAAAAACGAGAGTGCCTTTTTGATGAAGCGATTTTGTTATAAAGTGAGTATGTTCGGATTCCAATCTTTGACACTAAGAAAAGCATTTTCGAATTTCCACAAAATAAATTATTACTATATAGGGGGTAGTGAGTGAGCACCACCTTATATATTGTATCATAGTCTTTAAAAAAAATTATTGGGCCTCTTATCATGTAGTTGTATTTTTAAAATTATATGCTCAATTGTTAAGTTATCTATTCGAGACCTTCTACTTTTATATGCAAGATCTAAGACAAAATTTAAACTCATAATTCCTAACTAGTCCTTTTCCTATAGGTTGGCCTGATCGATGAGGAAGACGACGTGTAGTTTAAGCTAAGTACTAACCTCACTTCAACGTTGAATTTCTGCCTCCTAATTCCTAAACAACAAGAGAAAAACAAATATACAATTTTTTGGTAAAGAAACTTATGTTAAGGATAGTAACTTGTATATATAGTATGGTGGTTTTAACTAAGTAGCTTTTCTTTACTTTCTCTATATTTGTGTTGTGTGTTCCTCAAGATATGCCGTTAAAGCTTCTCCTTGCTTCCTCATGGCCGTTGCTTCCCCCACCAATCACCAAACCATCACTGCTTTGACAACAACAAAAGAAAAAACCTTTTCTTTCTCACAGTTACATATACTCATTTCCATTACTTCCAAAAGAAAAAACCTTGATTCATATAAAAAAAACTTGATGATGCTACTATCCTACTTTGCCACTACACAAATTTTCTTGCTACTCTTACTTGTGTTTCCACAAATTAAATCTGATCTAAACTCAGAAAAGCAAGCACTTCTAGATTTTGTTGCTTCAATACATCATGGTGGAAAACTCAATTGGAGCTCTAATATCTCAATATGCACTTCTTGGGTGGGAGTTAAATGCAATCCTAATGGCTCACATGTTCGATCCGTAAGGCTTCCGGGCGTTGGATTGCGCGGAACTCTCCCGGAAAACACGCTTGGTAAGCTACATGGTCTCAGCAGTCTTAGTCTTAGGTCTAACACCTTGTTTGGGAACCTTCCAAGTGACATTTTTTCCATTCATTCTCTAAGATTTATATATCTTCAACATAACAACTTTTCAGGTTATATTCCTGATTATTTACCACCTCGTCTTAGGCTTCTTGATTTGTCCTATAACTCTTTCACCGGAAAAATTCCAAATATAATCCAAAACATGACTTGTCTAATAGAACTAAACCTTCAAAACAACTCTCTCATAGGACCTATTCCTAATGTTGTTGTTGAGCTACCCAATCTTAAGAATTTGGATTTGAGCTTCAATCATCTTAATGGTTCAATTCCTTCAGGGTTTCATAAGTTTCATGCATCTTCATTTAAAGGAAACTTAAGGTTATGTGGTGCACCTTTGAAACAATGCTATTTAGCTTCTTCCCCTACTACAATTTTGTCTCCATTAATAGTTTCACCAAAAGTGCCTAGTGATATCTCAAACAAGAAGCTTAATACATGGGAAAAAATTGCTATTGCTTTGAGTGTTTTTGTTTTTGCAGTAATGCTTCTTCCGGTTCTCATAGTAGTGTTCTGCTGTTTCGAAAAGAGAGTAGGCGAACAAAATGTAAAACATAAAGAGAAAGGAGAGAAGCTTATGAAGGAATTTGGAAGTGGTGTGCAAGAAAATGAGAGAAATAGGCTAATATTTTTTGAGGGATGTTCTTATAGTTTTAATCTTGATGATTTGCTGAGAGCCTCGGCGGAAGTGCTCGGCAAGGGAAGTTATGGAACAACTTACAAAGCTATCTTGGAAGAGGGAACAATAGTGGTTGTGAAGAGGCTAAAAGAAGTGGCAATGGGGAAAAAAGAATTTGAGCAGCAAATTGAGATTGTTCAAAGGCTTGATCGTTATCCGAATGTGGTTTCGCCTCGTGCTTACTATTATTCGAAGAATGAAAAGCTTGTTGTTTATGATTACTTCACATCTGGAAGCTTCTCCAAGTTATTGCATGGTAACTACTGTCTTTTTGAACTTTTTTTTATCAACTGTTTCATTTTCTTACTATATCACATCACATGAAACATGATGATAGGAAAAAGTGAAACCGGACGAACTCGACTAGATTGGGATTCCAGATTGAAGATAATGGCTGGAGCTGCTAAGGGCATTGCCTATATCCACTCATCCAATGGAAGGAAACTTGTTCATGGCAACATAAAATCATCCAATGTGCTTCTCTCAACAGATCTTCAAGGCTGCATATCAGATTTCGGCCTAACATCTCTAACAAGTTTATGTGTCTCCCCTAAAAGTCCTTCCGGCTACCAAGCACCGGAGGTGAACGAAAGCAGAAAACACACTCAAAAATCTGATGTATACAGCTTTGGTGTTCTTCTCCTTGAGATGCTGACTGGGAAAACACCGGTTCAGCATCCGGGGAGTGATGATGATGTGGTTGATCTTCCAAAATGGGTCCAATCTGTTGTTAGAGAGGAATGGACTGCTGAAGTGTTTGATCTTGAGCTAATGAGATATTCAGATATTGAAGAAGAATTGGTTCAGATGTTGCAACTTGCTATGGCATGTGTAGCAGTGATACCTGATTCAAGACCATCCATGGAGGAAGTTGTTAGGATGATTGAAGATATCAGAGTATCCACTTATTAGCACTGGTCACCATTCACATAGGACAAATTCAAAGTGTTCCATTGCCATGTTTGAAAATTTGAGGTCTTTGCATCAAAAGAGAATCGGTTGTGTTTAAGCATCTTGCTATTTTCTTTTACCTTTACATGATAGCTTTAACTTAACATTTGAAACTATAATAGTAACTACTAGTAGATCAAATTTTCAAAAGCAAAAGTAATCTGATTTTCATGATAATAAATTTTAATGGAGAAACAGACTTCTTTTTTTTTAACTCAGTTATATACACGACTTCTATGTTGCAGTTGTCAATTTATACATGGGAATTGTTCAATACATCATTAGTATTAGTCACTAACTCCTGTGAAAAATCAAAAATACACCTTCCGTACGGTCCAGAGTTTGACACACTACAACGCAACAAACTCAATCTTAAAACCATGCCAAATGGAAGAAAAAAATATGTCCGAATTACAAAATTGAGTGCACTTTACGCATATTGAAATTCAGACACACTCATTTAAGTGGCGTGGCATGGACAGACTTTTCCTCCCCATTCCCCGATGAAGAAATTTATTGTATTATTTAGACGGCGCAAAAAAGTATTCTTGAATTTCTAGAGTTTAAGAGTAGTAGTACATAGGGTGCAATTAACATTCACCTTTATACAGACCCAGCTCACATATTTGAGGGGGAAAGAAACTCATGCTAAAGTAATTTTCCTTAAACTCACCAAAATTATGGACATTTAGGTTTTGTTTGAATTTGAAGAGGAAGGGAGGGAAAGATTTTGAAATAAAGGAAAAATTGAGTGAGAAGAATAAAAGAGGAAGAGAGGGAAAGATTTTGAAATAAAGGAAAAATTGAGTGAAAAGAATAAAAGAATTTAGATAAGAAGGGCTTTAGAGGATTCATATTTATTCAAAAATCAAAATTCCCCTAATTTAGAGAAACTAAAAAATTGAATTAGATAAAGGGTTCAGAAAATTTTGAAGGGATTAGATAAATTGTTTAAATATAATTTAAGATGCTATAGTATTTCAAAAATTAAAAATATTGTATATCATTCTGTAAAAATAAAAATAAAATCAAAAAATATATAAGAGACCCTTAATTAAAGGATTTAGGAGTATGGGTTGGGGTTTATTCACCCAAAAAAATGAATGATTAAGTCATAGTACATGGCACAAGCTAGTCACCATCTATCAAATGTGTATGGAAGAGCTTATTTCGACCACACAAAAAGAGAGTTTATTTGCAAGTTATTCAAATTTATAAAAATGAATTATACCTTATATAAAAACAGCTCAACAACATCTCTCTTTAAAAGAATAACTAACTTATATATTATGATAAACATTTATACGAAAAGAGCTCAATTAAATTGTTTAGCCAAACACACCCTAGATTCCAACCAAATGCACTCGAGATCCTTACTCGTGATGCAAAATTTTAAAGGTAACATTTCCAACTTTGAAAGCAATGAGAAGTATAGAACATACAATATAAAACTCTATATTTCTTCCTGATGAAATATTTCCTAATATTCAAAGAATTGGCATCAGATATATAAATGGCCCAAATTGGCCCAACCTACATTGATATTTTGACTAATGTGAGTGAGGTTTATTGTATGTTATGGACGGCCAAATAAAAATGATGACCGCATTTTTAATCCACTATTAAGAATCAATTACTGGTGTTTGAGGACTTTTGGTCAATCAAATCAGCACCACTGACATACTTAGCAAAAAATGATATCAGACGAAATGGAGCACCAATAAGAGGAGCATCTGTTATTGGCACGGCATCATTATTTTCCACATTCTTGGCATTCTGTAGCTGTAGATCTCTTACATCATTATCATCCAGTGGAATTTGAACAATTTCATCAGTATCATCATCCGGTAGTGAAGAGTTTGAAATTACTCCAACAGCGTGTCTTGCGTGAAAAGAGTCGCTACTATCATTCACCACCGAGGTCTTTTCTAATGAATCCGACTCCGGCGCAGATATAGACATAGCCTCAGATGATTCAGGCTTAACAAATTCAGTCAAACCATCAGAGCCAGTAACTTCAGAAAGTGAAATACCTGTGTCTTGTTGATCCAGCTCAACACATAGTTTGTGAACCTGATGATATAAATGACTTAAGAACACATAACGCCGTCTAAAAAATCTAACCAATCAATCTAAATCTACTAATACAAATAAGAAAAAAATCAAATCTTTTAGTAAGTCATAAACAAAATCATCAAGAGCCATGCATATTTATTTACCTTCTCAACAAGTTCAGCATTTTCTGCCATCAATTTTTCCACTAGCATATAAGCCTCTTCAATTTGAGATTTAAACTCTTGATTTTCAGTAGCGCCATCCTGTCCATCATTAAGCAAAATACTGTCAGAGGCAACATAAAATGCCAGGAAAGAAAGGTTCTTCTTCCTTCCGGCTTCGAGTCATGAACACACTTGACAAGTAACAATAAAAAATCCATTACCAATCATATAAAACTATCAATGATTTCCTTATAAAAACAAACCTTTGCAGATGCACCCTGTGAAGCGGAAAAAGAGATACTGTTTTCAAGATTCTGGACTGTTGAATGAAGACCTGACACATTTTCCCTCAATTGCTGATTTTCTAGCAAAAGATTATTCTTGGACTCTTCCAACTCTGCCACCTGCCAAGCTTTGTTTTTAATTTCCATATCAGAATTAACACAGGTTTGTTACAAAATGGAATTGACCAAATAACAATATGCGAGGGTAATTCATCCAGACAATTTTTATCAATAATGGAAGTTGGAGAAAAGAAGATTTAACTAAAGAAGAAAAACATTTATGTTAGAAGGCAATCAAGATAGCCAACGTAACATTAATTAAGCCAAAGCGAAGGTATTAATGAATCCATATTCAGACCAAAACAACTAAAACTATAGCCTGAATTGTTACAGAACTTAGCCAGAATGTCTAATTAAGAAAAATTTAGGAATTATTTATGTTTCTCATTCGCCAACACAGGGGAACCCTCTCTGGTGCTCATAAAATTCTACTCATACAAGTTATGGCTCACACTTGCAATAAGAATCCATTCTATATTGATAGGAACCTGATTCCAGAACTGAACACTATATAATAGTGTTTCAAAGATAATAAGGAAACGAAGGACAATGATACCTGAAAATAGTAATCCTAACACTTTCTTAAGTTTTTCAGGATAAAATATTCATGTATTTTTAATTGCATATCCGGTAGGTACATACCTGCACTTGTAGCATGCTGGTGTTTTCTTTCAGATTTGAAATAACTTCTTTAGCTGAGTTCTGTAAATTAAACATACAATCTCTTGTAAGGTACGAAATCACAAGAAATGGACATGTATAACTTATAAGGTTGCTAAAATCGAGATTTTACGCAAAATTGAAAAGGTGAAGTAAAATCGTAAATCGTGGAATTGTAATCCTATTCTGAGTACAGAACTAATATGCCCTTTTATAAATATGAGATAAGCATATCTCTTCTGAACCAGTAAAGTGTGCTGGCTATGGAAGCCAAGGGAGGTTCACGAGACAATGGATTGTTAATACTATGGAGATTATGCAATGGCTTGGTCTGCAGTAAAGTCAAGCTTGTCAAACTCAAGAGTTAATAAAAATTCATGAAATCTTTGTGGACTTTGACGCTTAAAGTCGTAAGAGTTTACTTCATACAAAATAATGTTTGAAACATCTATCACATATAGTAACTGTGAAAACTGAATAACATATTCAAGTTATGAATAATGTACAAGCATTAATCTGTTTGTATAAGCTATTCTAATCTAATAGGCCTGACTGATGAAGCGAATACAAATTATTACTAATGTTAATAAAAATACATTATTCACAACGGTAACTAAAAACAATTGACCATTATGTGACCAGCCCAGAGCCTAAATCCACACACCTGAATACACGCATATAAAATCACAATAAACTGATGGACAGAACCACAAGATAGGTTGACGAAGTATGACAAATAAAAATCAATGAACAGAACTAAAAAGTTACAAGGTTCAAAATCAGTAAATTACTAGAGATAAGGATGGTGCAATTGGGTTCCCCTCACTGATGTGTGAACCAGCTTGCTAGAACTATGTTTAAGCTCATCAAAGTTGGATTCATTCACCTCATTGGCCTGTTAGGTTCATTGCAAACTTATAACAAAGGGTTCTCATGTTTTTTAAGGTGAAGATTGTTTGTTAGCCTTGTTTAGTTGTGCTAAAACTCATGATTCTATGTGAGTTTATGAAGGTATAATGTATATAAGTCTAGGTGAGTCTACTCGAATTTACATAAATAATTTTGCAAGTTAGTAACTCACTTTTGATAACTAGAGTTATAAACTCAGATTTATGAGTGAACTCGAGAGGTTGACAGCCATGATTAGTATTGAGTAGAATAAAAAAAGTAAATTGAGGGAGGGAAAATACTAAACTGGAAGTTCAAAGAATGGGATACCAAGAAAGCCTCAGACTGCTCTGCACCCTCCTCTCTACATATTCCTTTTAATTTCTCTCAAGTTTTTTGGTCCGTTAACCAGCCTAGAGAGATTCTTCTTGGCAAACCTCATTTTACAACCACCTTTATTTTCTCAATCAATCAATCTTTTTTTATTTTCAAATCAAATTCCTAATTACCATTCAAAAGAAAGATATCAAAATAGATTGTATTTGAAGAAAAGCCCCGTGGAAGAATGTTTATTGCCCTCGTTGCTAAAAGGTTAAGATGTTGAAGAAGGAATAAACATTGATGTATATGCCATGCAAGGAAAAACATTCAACAGCCCGTGAACCTAAACAATGCAGGACTCTACACAACTTCAACAACAATAATATAACTAATACCATCTTAGAATTGTGGTTGGACCTAAACCTTATGAAACCGACTTGTAAGATGATAATCACCCTCACTTATAAGCATATGTTCAGGCCACATGTTGTCCAATGTGGGACTCTTGACACAAATCATGACAACAATATGTATTGTGCCTTGTGGAGTGTTTTGAAAATTGAGCTAGAGTTATTTTTTTACTGATTTCAAAAGAATGCATTTCATTAAACTTTTTATTTACGCTTTAGACACTATGGATTGGATGCTGACAATTGTTAACCTATTGACGAAAGTTAAGGTTGTTGATTAAACGAGCAACATATTCAATACAATAATCTGATAGAGAATAGACAAGGTACATATTACCTCTTCCTCTACAGAAAAACTCAAATCACTCTCCAGAAGATTTATTTTTCGCTCTAAACTTTCCTGTAAAATAATGTATATTGGATTTAGAATTTCAACTAAACTTTCACTAACCCAGAAAAACAGAAAATTAAGAGACACTGTCAGAGTAGTGGATAAGTAAGGTTAAATAAAAACACTAAATGTAATAAATGAGTTGGAGAAGTAGTTCTAACCACTTTTAGGCTCAAAATGGTTTTTTCATTCAGCAACTGATTGTTTTTTTCAATAATTCCAGTCTGCATAAGATTATAGTATTGAATATGAAAAATCTTGATAAATAATTTATCTAACTCAACGCTCCTAAATCATGAAAATCATGAAAAGGGGGGGAAATTAAGTTACGCACCTCTTTTTGAATTAATGAATTATTCTCACTCTGCAATTGTGCTATTCTCATTTCCAGGCCATCCTGTAGTTAATCGAGTTAAATATACAAGTAGAAAAATGTATATACAACAACAACCAAGTCTTACCCCCCTAAGTGGGGTGGGCCACGTGGATCAAACAATGTCATAATGTTCTATCAAATACCATGCTTCTATCTAGCTTATTAATCTCGAGATTTTTCTTAATAGCTTGCCTTATAGTCTTTCTAAGTCTTCGTCTACCTCTAACGGTTTACCTACCCTCCATCTAATCTACTCTCTTTACATGATCTTCAAGTCTTCTCTCTACATGCATTAACTAAGTCTAGTTTCCACCATCTTTTCTACTATTTGTGTTACCCCAACACTCTCAAATATTGACATTTCTAAATGTATCTCATCTAGTCTTACCACACATTCAATGCAACATCCTCATCTCAACTACACTTAATTAATTTTTGTGATGATTCTTTAAAGCCCAACACTGTCCCGTTGCCGGTCATAAATATTAATAATGCGCAAGAGACATCAACACATTCATCAAAAACAGATTTATTAAAATCCAATTACTTATTTTATAAAAAAGTGACCGGTCAAAATTGGGTGCTTGGTATACTTGATACAAAAAGTTAAGATCACAATTTCAACAAACAAAATATACTCAATGCAATAACACGTGAGGGAATTGACAACTTATTACCTCTTTCTCACTAAAGGAACTCAAATTGCTCCCCAGAATATTTAACTTTTGCTCTAAACCCTCCTGTGCAACAAATATATAGCAGAATTTAAGAATTTAAACTAGAATGTCATTAACAAAAAAATAAATCAAAATATTATTCTTATATAAACAGCGAGTAGGGATGAAATCAGCCAAGGTTAAATAAACTTTTAATGAAGGAAATTGCAAAGTTGATGAATCTATGCTTAAAACTACCTTTTCACGCAGTAACAGACTTGTCTTTCCCACCAATCCAGCCTGCACGTGATAAAATATAAATATAAATATTAAACATCTTGATAAAAAAATAGCTTATACATTAAACACCCGTCAAAATTAGGTGCTGACTGTACCTAATGTTCTATACTGAGAGTTAAGTTAACAAAATATACTCAATGCAATAACACATGAGAAAAGTGTTACCTCTTTCTCACTAAGGGAGCTCAACTTGCTCTCCAGAGTATTTACTTTCTGCTCGAAACCCTCCTGTGGAACAAAGTATAGCAGATTTAGAAATTAAACCACAATCCCATTAACAAAAAAATATATAAATACCATGCTTATTATATAAGCAGCTAAGAGGAGCGAAATCAGCTACAGTCTACAGTTAAACAGTGAACGAAGGAAATTGCAAAGTTGATGAAGCTATGCTCAAAACTACCTTTTCAATCTGTAACATATTGGTTTTTTCCATCAATCCAGCCTGCATATATGATATAATATTGAATATCCAACATCTTGATATTATTCTTATATAAACAGCTAAAAGGGGGAAACCAGCTAAGGTTATATAAACGTTGAATGAAGGAATTGGCAAAGTTGAAAAAGCTAGGCTCGAAACTACCTTTTCACTCAGCAACAGATTTGTTTTTTCCATCAACCCAGCCTGCATATGATAAAATAGTAAACATATTCTTAAACAATATCTCCAAATAAATGTCCTTAAATATTTAAAATAATATATGTATGTATGTATTAAAACACACTCACCTCTTTTTGAAGTAAGGAATTTTGCTCATTCTGCAATTGTGCAATTCTCACCTCTAGATCAGTCTACAGATAATCCAATTAAATATACTAGTTGGTAATTAAACATATATAAGAAAAATATAATTCAAATAAGGGTTTGGATTAGCTTATATTTAGGCAATAACTGGTGTTTCTCGGAGCTTCCTTATAATAGATCATTTTCTTTTAAAAAGAGACTTATTTCACCATAAATGATCTTCCCCAGACATGATGATGTAAGAGCAATGAACATGTTCAACCAAACTGTTCAATTCAAATTTAATCACCTGTGTATGTTTCTGCAATTCATTTTCAGTTTTTAGTTTATTGATAATCTCTTCCAAGGTAACCTGTAAAAGAAAGGCAAAATTAGTGGTAGACATGAAAATAGTTATAATAACAGATTTTTTTAAGAAAATAAAGCTCAATTTTAGATCTTTTTTCTATGATTTCTTTCAAGACTTCTATTTAGAAAGTACATAAGTTGCAAAATAAGCAGTTAAACACACTCACCACTTTTTGAAGTAAGGAATGATTTTCATTCTGCAGTTGTGCAGTTCTCACCTCTAGATCAGTCTGTAGATAATCCAGTTAAATATACTATTCAGTAATTAAACATATATATAAGAAAAATATAATCCAAATAGTGGTTTGGATTAGCTTATATTTAGGAAATAACTAGTGTTTGTTGGAGCTTCCTTATAGTAGATCATTTCCATTTAAAAAGAGACTTATTTCACCAAAAACGATCTTCCTCAAACATGATGATGCATGTAAGAGCCATGAACGCATTCAACAAAACTGTTTAATTCAAATTTAATTACCTCTGTATGTTTCTGAAATTCCTTTTCAGTTTTTAATTTATTGATAATCTCTTCCAAGGTAGCCTGTAAAAGAAAGGCAAAATAAGTGGTAGACATGAAAGTAGTTATAATAACAGATTTTATTAGAAATAAAGCTCCATTTTAGTCCTTTTTTCTATGATTTCCTTCTAGACTGCTATTAAGAAAGTACATATAAAGTTGCAAAATAAGCAGTTACACAAATACCTCTGATAAAACTTACAATACACTACCTCTTTACAAATGTGTTTATCAATTTCTTCTTTCAATTTTGTAATTGTCTCCTCTGCTAAGGCCTGCATAAAGATGGATTATATGCATTCGTGCTAAAGAATATAGGTGATAATGTTGTATAAGCATGCAAATAATAAATTAAATAAATCTGGTAGATGAAGTTTAAAGTAAAATTACCTCTTTCTGAGTGTGCCCTTCATTTTCTTCTATCAATTTTCTTATTGTCTCTTTTGAAGTAGCCTGTTTTGAGATATGCTATATGTTAAAAGTTTAAAACAAAGAACATGTATTTCTTGGATAAATTTAAAAATATTACCGCTTCTTGCATGTGAATATCATTTCCTTTATTCATTTTTCTAATTGTATCTTCTAATATGACCTGTGAAATGATAGGCTGTATGTGTTATAAAAAGTTGAAACCTAAGGGCTCAAACAAAAGACATATTTTTACATAAAACACTACCTCTTTCGTAAAATGCATATCAAGTTCTTTTTTCATTTTTCTGATATTCTCTTCTAATTCAACCTGTGTAAAGATAGATTATATGTGTTGAAAGAAATTTGTATAAACATTACTTAAAAAGAACAAATGTCACCCAAATAAAATTTAAAATATATCACCTCCTTTTGCACAAGCATGTCGTTTTGTTCATTCAATTTCTGGATTGTCTCTTCAGATATGGTCTGTAGAACAGTGGAACATTACATCCGAAAATTAAGTAATAAGTATTTCTCAGGTAAAACATTACCTCTTTCATAATGTGCATATTATTTTCTTCGTTCAGCTTCCTGATTCTCTCTTCTGACATGACCTTTGTATCGGTACACAGTCCATATTATAAAAACATTGAGGCATAATTAAACAAAGGACATGTATGTATCTTAGACAAAATACTACCTCTTTACGAATGTGTTTATCATTTTCGTCTTTTAATTTCTGGACAGTCTCTTCTAATATGGTCTGTGGAGGGATATGCCTTGCAAGTTACAAACCATTGAAGCATTCGTTCTTAAATAAAGGACATGAATTTCTTTCGTAAAGTATTACCTCTCTCTGAATGAGCACGGCATTTTCTCCTTTTAATTTTCTAATTGTTTCGTCTGATATGTCCTGTCGAAAGAAAGTGCCAACATTAAAATTTTGAAAGTATTAAACATGGTAACATATGCATTTGTAAGAAAATGAGAAAAAAAAACTTTCATCTTTAAGAAATTCTGTTGGGCAAATAGCTGAATATCATTTTCATTTCCTAATTTTTTTACTACGTCTTCTGACAGATTGACATGGCCTGTCAAAAGGCAATTTCATTTAGTTTAGCAATGCATTCATGTCCACAAACACTCAATTCAAAAAAGAGACGGGTGGGAACGAGGGAGAAGCATTTTTTTATGAATTTGTTTGCATAACAAGGGGGGCAAATTTTTTGGTCATATATAGCTTGCAGAACAGGTTACAGGCACCTAGAAACACTGTATAGAACCTGAACTGGAAAATAATAAGTTCAAACTAAATTACCCAATTTCTATGAAAAATGATAACAATAGCTAGCAAAAACACATTTCGTTTCAGAAACCAACAATTGAAACATAGGACTAGTCCTGACTCGTGAACATAAAACACTGTGTCTATAACACTAAAAAAAGAGTGAAAATCTATATTGATTGAAGGAAAACTTACACATTTTTTAGCATTTGGCAGATGCCCATTAGAATCCATATTAGTACTTTTCCCATCTGCAGAGTCCAATGATTGAGTGGGCTCGTCCTCTCCGCTTCTCACCAGATTCAGATCTCTGTTTGGAACTTCTACATCTCCATTCCAATCCACACTCACACTTTGCTCATCAGCTGTCCCCAAAAGCTGAGAGGGCTCATCCTTACCACTATTCACAAGATTCTGATCCCTCATTGAAGTGTCTCCATCCCCATTTGAGTTTACTACAGCCTCTGAAAGATCAGCATGCCCATCCTTTGCATTACTCACCAAATTTTGATCGCTTGTATCTATTTCTCCAACCCCAATCGAATGCGGCGCAGCCTCAGAAAGACTAGCAGACCTTCCCGTAGCATCATTGACCAGATTCTGATCACTGGTATCTGTTTCCCCATCCCCAATCGAATTCGGCGCAACCTCGGAAAGACTAGCAGGCTTATCCTTGGCATCATTGACCAGATTTCGATCACTGCTGTCTGTTTCTCCATCCCCAATCGAAATTACCACAGCCTCGGAAAAACTAGCATGCACGTCCTTAGCATTATTCACCAGATTCTGAACCCTAGAAGCTGTTTCTCCAACCCCGGCATCTACATTCTTGTTTTGCTTGTTCTTTTTCTTCTTGTTTTTTCTTCTTTTCTTATCATCCTCCATTTTCCCAGCTAAAATTTATATTCCAACTTCTTCTAATAAGCAAAACTAATCAAAATTCAAACAAAAACAAAAATGAGAAAACCAGCCATCACAAATGATAAAACCCAACAATGCCATACACAAAATCAATCACGGTTCATTATATCGCAACAATAAAACACCAATCTAACAGTAAACTCTAAATCTAGAATTACAAAAGCTAATAAAATTGGGGAAAATTTTAAAACAAAATAATAAAGAGGAAATTGGCGAATGCATACATAGAGAATGTGGAAAGTGGCGGAGAATCTGAAAATTTTGTTGATGAATTAAGTTAGCGTAATGTGGAAAAGGAAAGTTTGTGGAAAAGGAATGGAAGGTTGAGTAAGTGAGAAGCGATTTTGGTAGAAAAGTGATTAATTGAATTGAAGGTTCGATGAGCGTTTCAGGCGTTTGATTTTTTATGGAACTTTCACGTTTGAAATGTGTCAGTGCAATACAGTGTTTATGACATCTTTCGTTTCTCTCTCTCTTGAAATGAAATCCAACGGCTTTTACGGTTCCATTTGTTCTTACCCTGTGGACTTGTCTCTACTTGATTACTTCAATGGTTTCAAATGTAAATAATAATACTCCGTGTCATTTAAATGCAATTTTTTTAATTCTATATTAATTTTTTTTATTTTCTCCGTTTTAAAATGAATGTGGTTTAAGGTTTTGTGTATAAATTAAGAAATGAAATAATATTGTTATAAAATATTGTCACTTTTATTAAAGTAGTCTTATTAATGTGTTAGAAATAGTGTTCAGAGTAATAATTATATGACACAATTGAAAAAATAATAATTATTACTAAATTGAAAATTGAGAACGACGGTCATTTTGAAACAAAAATTTTCATCTAAAACGATATTTATTAAAAGTACCTTTTAAAAATATCAACGCTATTTGATCCTTCTTTATTGTATTGTGTTTTTCGGTAATATTTTTCAACAATATTATCCTTACACCCTCTTTACACCTACGTTATATGTATTGTTTACAAATACGGTGAATAGTATGGTGAATAATGACACCGTACATGAACAATAGCGTGAATAGTGTCATGTGACCAATACTATGTACATGAACAGTACACGTGAATAGTGATGAACAGTACTATGTAAGAGTGTGGAAAAAGATTGAAGGGGTTAATAAAGGTTTATTCCATGTGACTAATGATGCTCATGCTGCAGTAATTGCTACACATTACATTTCTAACAATGTTGATAGACATATATGGGTAGAGCACAATGTTAGGGACAATTCAAATAGGGTGTTCATTCCTAATTTTGTAGATGTTGGTGAAGACAGTGATGACAGTAGTGATGATGAAGTTAGAGGGATAACATTTGAAGGTAGAGAGGAAGAAAGAGTTAATGAAAATAATGAAGGTTTTGTGGTTGTAGAGGTTTATCTTTCAGGTGAAGGCAATAGAGTTGCAATGAATGGTGAGAATTATAGGTACAAGTTAAAAGGTAAGAAAGATGGATCCACTGTGAAGTCTCCTTCAAAAGTTAGGTCGGGTTTTCCTAAAAGTCTCATGGATGGAAGGTCAATAATGGATGAAAGGTCAATAATAGAAGAAAGTTCAGGGTCTGTAAAACAAGAGGGTGATTACGAAAGTGGAAAATTGGGTACCTCAAACCCAGATGAAAGTAACAATGAAAGAATGCCCAAATATGAAAAGTTCAAAGGAGAGTTGCTCAACAAAGACTATGAATTCAAACTAGGTATGGACCTAGTTTTCAGGGGGTAAATGATTTGTTAAACAATGTTGGTGATTAAATAATTCAGTAACACAATTATTTAATTGTGTCAAGAATTAGAAAAATAAAATATTAACTTTTAAATAATATAAACCAAAATTAAAACAAAGTAATGTCATATGAAATTATAATTAAATGGAAAACGGAAAATTAAAATAAAGTAATGTCATGTAGAATTAAAAGTAAAGGGAAAACGAAAAAAAATTACCATGTACGTGACACCTCAGTCTCAGTGTTGAACAAATAAAAGGAGGGGTAAAAGGGAAATCTATAAATTACAAGGACAAAATCTGTATTTTTTTAAAGGGTTGTTTTCTAGGTTCACCTTATATGGCAAGGGGGAATGGGTATTAACCAATTATAAAATAAAAGCATATAAATAGAAGTATCCCTTGCTTCATCGTGTTCTTCCCCTTTCATATGAAACAAACCCTAAATTTCATTTTCATCTTCATTCCTTGTTGGTATTTCGTTTCACCCGATTAAAGTTTTGGTTTGCTTGTTGCTTTTGTTGGAATTATGAGGTAAAGGGAGAGATTATTCATCTAATGATGTCTTCATCATGAAAGATTATAAAGGTTTTCCTTAACCTCTAATAGGGTTTTCTTTTCTCTATTGCTTGATATGAATATGATATATGATGCTTATGGTTTTATTTTCACCATGAAATTATGTGATGATTGTGTTCGATGTTGTGTTGTTTTGTGTTTCATGAGTCAATTGATTAAATGATAAATTTGTGTTGAAATTGAGTTGTTGCGGTGAAATTTGGATGTCAAGCTATTGATTAACTTGAATCTTAATTCATTTACAACCGGTCTTTGATTTATCCGAAGGAAAGGTTAAAGAAAGAAAAAACCTAAAGGGGAGAGATCTAAGGTTCGGGGGTTGGTTAAGATTAGGGAAGGTATTAGCACCCTAAACTTCCGTAGTACTCTACGGGAACCTTTTATTTATTTTTTTTATTTATTTCATTAATTATTTTGCTTTAGGGTATATACAAAGGATTGAAAATTAAAAAAGACCTAGGGGTTAATTCTAAGTTTACTCGGCAAGACATCGCATCTTGTGCCTACATATCCTTACGGGAATGGAATCAGAGTAACTGTAGTTCCCCTCAAAAGGGAGGTTAGAGACTTCTTGACTGTGGTCAAGGTCTCAAGGGGAATAAACGCATCTTAAGGACACGCTTACGTGGAGTGTAGAAACTCCAAATCTCTACGTTGAATTGTTAAGTGAATTAGGGTTAGGTTAGGGATTCCGCGGCGGGAAACCCTAAAATGAGCGCGGCGACTCTTTGACCTAATGCTAGGGGTAAAATTGTAATTTGGCCTGCGGCGAGGCATTTGTGAAAATTAGGGTTTGTAGTTTGTAGTTTTGAGGATTTGAAATTGAATGTGTGAAGTTTTACGGACTATTGGCGCGGCGGCCAAACAGTTAGACCTAACCTTCGGATGTGTGCAATGTGACAGAAATAATGGTAAACGCGTGAGATAATTGAATCATGCAAACAGAGAGATAATGTCATAATTTAAACCATGCAAGCAGAAATTTAAAGGCAGAATTTAAAGAGCGATTGTTAAGTTCGCGAGGTTACATGAGAGGAGCAGATACAATATGATAATGAAATTTGAATTGAACAATAATAAAATAAAATAAATAACGGTTCTAGTAATTATTTTAAAAAAAGATTTTAGTTATTATTTTAAATTTATCTAAAAAAAAAGTTTTTCTTAAAATAATAGGTTTTCATATTAATTTGGAAAAGATGTTAATGTTATTTATTTTAAAAAACAGATTTTTATATTATAACAAGTTTTAATAAATTAATGATAACAATAATAATAGTAATGGTAATAATAATGATAATAATGACAATAATAATAAACAATGTTAATAATAATAATAATAATAATAATAATAATAATAATAATAATAATAATAATAATAAAGCAATAATAAATTTTAAATGTGCCAAATAACCCAACAATGTTGCTAACGCAGAAATACGCTCATCGCAACCAGATCTAAATCGGACGAAACAAAATTTATCGCAAAGAAAAAGAAATTAAGCAAAAAAACAGTATTATTGCTCACACAAAAATGCGATCATCGCAATCAGATCGAATTAACACAAATGTCACGCGTCATGCACACAAATGTGCAAACATCGTATCGACATAATTCGATCAAAAATTAATCTTATATATATATATATATATATATATATATATATATATATATATATATATATATATATATATATATATATATATATATATATATATATATATATATATATATATATATATATATATATATATATAAACTCTAACAATTTAAAAATTATATATATAAACGTAACAGTAATAGATGAAGAAAAGAAATAACGGTAATAGATGAAGAAAAAGAAATAACGGTAAGGATGAAGAAAAAGAAACAACAGTAATAGATGAAGGAAAAGAAATAACGGTAAACGATGAAGAAAAAGAAACAACAGTAATAGATGAAGAAATAGAAATAACGGTAAACGACACTCACTCCTCTTAGGTTTTTTTTCATTCTCCTCCTTTTCAACAAAGCAACACATGTATATATAGGGAACAAATTAGGGTTAACACCAAATTGTCAATAATGTCCCTAAAGCCCATTTTAAAGCCCAAACTAAATAATTAGTTAAGAAAAAAAATAAAATTTAAATAATTTAAAATAATTAAAATAAACTTAAAATAAAAACTAATAATCCTATTGATTCCTAAAGTCAAAAATATTATAAAAAGAACAAATTTTTTTTCAATATTTTTTATTTTATGATTTTTTGGATATTTTTATGAATAATTTAGAAAAAAGTGAAAAAAATAATGTTTTAAAAAATGATTTAATTAAAATACGAAAATAATAATTAAATAATAATAAAAAACTATTTTTGTTATTTTTTAATGAAAGATAGAAAAATTTAGAGTAAAAATAATAAAAAACAAAAAGTGACAAAGGTGAGATTCGAACCCTGAACCTCTCACACTCACAACTCCTTACACATGTCCTCTTGCCAATTGTGTCATTTTTACTTTTTAGAAAAAAAATGCATGCCATATGATATTTACCTGCAAAAAGTCAAACGACTACACAAATTTGTTAGTAATTGATTAAATGCAATAAAAATGCAATGAAATGCGACGACAAATCTTAGGGCAAAATTTGGGGTATTACAGT